AATTCTGCATGAATACAAGAGGGAAAAGATGTCACACATGCCTGATTGACATCTTTAACTGCTTCTTGGGTTTGCAATCATTTTCTAACTGATATTAAATACACAGTACACAATATCATTTAAAAGCAACGCTTTTCATTCGATAAGCATATAAAAACGTATCTTCCCTCCCTAAACATTGCTCTTTACCGGGTTGTAACAGCTGGATAACGCAGATATGGTTTTTGTTACCTAGTCCTGGAGAGACAGGCTTGCACGGAGAGTTTGATGCAGAGATGTGCGGCAGGTCTTCACTCTTCCAGCCTGTGTATCTCTCCCCTGTTCCTGGCAATCGCCTGCTCACTCCAAGCCTTGCACAAATATGGCCCTGTGGAGGGGAAGATGGTCTGAGGAAATTAGCACCAGTCCCTTGTGTCAGATTCACTTACTGCAGCCACACTCGACTCAGCGTTTTACTTTCTTGGGGTCCCCTAGGAAAAATATTTAAAGAGGATTTTCATTTAGCACTGGTGAAACGCTTTGACTTCGTGTCTGGCACTCTACACTCCTGCGACAGTAGGCCGTACCTCAAAGTAAACATTTATAAATGTCAATCATATAATTCCACTGTCTTTTGATTCCTTAAACTGCAAATGACTTTTTCAACCCCCTTTTATTAGTGAAGTAGGACAGAAGTAGTTCACAAATTAGCCTTTTTTGAGCAGCTATAATGCCAAATGGTTGCTAGCTTGTTCACCTTCTCCTTGAAGGGTGTATACTGGGATGGGTTTAATTCATGTATTATACAAGATCAAATTAAAAAAAAGAGGCACCTGCTAGTGTGATTATTATTATTTGGTGATTATCATCTTAATATGGTTATGTCTAATATGCAGCTTATTAAGTCTTAAAATGCTCAATAAACACTAAAATAAGAAACAAACCAGAAATCTTATTGTGCATTTCTCCCTTTTCTTGACTGTCAAAATAGTGAAAAACAGATCTGTATTAACCCAGGAAAAATACCCTTCAACAGAATATTCTTGTACAATTAAGAAACGTTTTTCTGCTGAACTGGGTATAGCACCCATTCATTTTTGTGCATTAGAGCCTTAAATAAAACTGTTCCATCTCTTCTGCAGAGATAATTTTGTTTACATAGCAGTTGCAGTCTGTCAATTAATTTGTGTCTCCCTGCCAAACCATTATTTATTATTCCAGAAAAAAAATAATAACGAACATCTGACAGTCAGGCTTTGTTTCTTCAAGGGCAGGCAAGCTGTATTGTTTTTAAGGAGGAACAGATTTAACAGTCCTGAAATAGGTGATTTTAATAGGTTCAGCTTTTAGCTTCTCAGCTCTCTTGTGTTTTTTTCCAAGCTCCTTGAGTCTCATGACTCACACTTCAGAACTGCCCCCACAGGTCCCACTTGCTGCTGGAAATGGAAATGATATTCCTTCTGCCACAGCTGACTGACAGATCCTTGAATGTTTGGACCCTGAAGTCTTTCCCCAACTCAGGCAGCTGAAAGCATAGCTGTCATGCCAGTGCCATCCACATACCAGAAAACTGCAATGTTTCTGCTACTAAAGTTTTAGATTTGAGTAAATGTGTGAACTTCATGTATATGCTTTCACACTGAAAGAGACATTGAGGTCAACTTTATGGCTCACGGGTTTCCAACTCTAATTAGAGTCCAGAACCTACCGTGTTCTGTAAATCTCTTACAATTATCAAGAGCTTAAGGGAGCGGAGAAAACTGATCCAGTAAACCTTAATTTGATCAATATCACCATTCTTATTAGTGTGGAACTGTAAAACATAAAAAGATATAAATCCTGCTGTATTCCAACTATTTTATAGCTCTATTGTGTATTATACTCATATAATCTGATTGATTGAGTGTATTGTTGTTAGTCAGAAATCGTGTTAAACTTACCATTGTCCTATATCTGCAATTTGATTAGTTTTGTTTTAGGTTTTCTTTGAAATATTAAAATTGATCATTTTTTTATATTCTGTGTAAAAAGTGCTATATTTATTATGTAGGTAAAATATTCAACATATTCAGTTTAAATATTCAATAACTAAGTAGTTATCCCATATCCATTGCACACAACATTTTTACTCTGAATTTCAGCGGTGTGGTTTGAACATTTCATCTCTTTATGTTTAAGATAATAAACATTTATATTTATGATTTATGTAAATTAGATTAAAATTGTATAAACATGTCATGAGGCAGTATTTGAACCTAGAGAACTCAGTTGTTTATGAGTTTTAAATACACTGTACAGTATAACAAAGTGGACTTTTCAAACACAGGCGACTGATCTATTAGCTCAGGTTAAAGACATTCCTGCTGACTGATGACATTTCGCAAGTTTGCTGTTATTTCTGATCCTGTATTGTTTGCTGACTCAGCATTGCAGCTCATGTAGATTCTTAGATATCAGAAGCACAGAAAACTGTGAATATTAAATCAGTATGAGAGCACTTCCTTTGAAAAGAGGGGAAGGCAAGGCCCATCTGCAATAGGCTTGGGCCGATCACCTATTGGGCCGACCTCCCTGATAGAGAGCTAGCATGTTATTTTGGAACTCTCAGGGGTACCTGCGTAAGAGGATGGAAATAGCAAGGGGACTGACATTTGACAAAGGCCCCTCCCTTAGCCTAACAGGAAGTCTTGTGCTGTTACATTTTAGCCTTATTTGGAAAAGGGACTCTTCCCCTGGGATGATGGGATTGAGGATCTGATTGCTGTACTCCAAGGAGCTGGCTTGCCCTCTTCTCTTTCTTCTTATCCCACTGCCTCTGTAGCATGGGGGGTCTCTGCTGTTATTCTAGGGTTCACTCTTATTTACTACTGTATGTGACGGAGCATTATAGGTAGGCAAACTGGAGGTATCCTGTTAACCACCATGGGCTTGATCGTGTCCTGTGCTGATGTCTCAATAAGTCACATTCAGCCATGGAAAAGCACAAAACAAGACCAGATCAAGCAAGGGACAAACAACAATAGTAATTTTTATCTATAGGTGCTTTAAAAATAACAAAAAGCACTGCACGGTTATAATTGCATAAAACATAAAGCACAGAGTAGACCAGAATTATTCATTTAAAGCTACAGTGTTTGTTGATTCATCTGCAGGCTTTTTGATGACATTTTCTCCTCTCCCAGTGTGGGTTGCCATTGTAAATGGGGATAGGAGGAGGAGGAGGTGGGACAAAGGTAGAGAGGAGTTCTTTTGTTCTGGTTTTTTATTCACTCTTTGTTTATCCATCCACACATTTTATAGTGGCTTCTTTCTATTCAGGTTTGCAGGGGAGCTGAAGTCTATCCCGGCAAGCAACAGGCACAAGGTGGGATACACCCTGGATGGACTCCAGGCTGTTGCAGGACACAAACATACAGTACTGTAAACACTCACACCAGGGCTAATTTTTCCACAAGCCAATTAACGTACCAGTATGACTTTAGAATGTGGGAGGAAACCCACTTAAACATGGGGAGAACATGCAGACTCCACACAGATAG